CTAAATAAAAAAATATTATAATTTATATCTGTCGTGATAAACATGAAAAACGTGTGCCGACGTACCCTTTCTCATTAATATGAAATACCGATGATTCACACTTACTTGCAATGATTCACTGAAGTGTTCGCGAACTTTATTTTAAAAAAAGAAACTTGTTGGGAAACTTTTTAATATTAAGAAGTATTTCGTTCCTGTCTTATAGAGAAAGAGAGGACATAAATATAATCAGTACGCTGTGAAGACGTGAGCAATTTGAGATTACCCAAGGAACAGAACAAAAATATGAAAATCTCACAGGTATTGAAATTTAGGTTTCATGTACAAGGAGAACATGAGTCGTTCAGAATTATGAAAAGGATGCAGAGTTGATTATAGTAATGGAATTGCTAAATTTAACCGTTAACCATGTAGTAGCGGTGTAAGAATATCCACTACCCCATATAGTCCCGTGGGTGTCGTAAGAAGCGGCAGAGGGAAACAAACCACGCGTTAGACGGTAGCGTTTTTCTTATAACAACTGATAATATAAACTCGTTTGCCAACCCGCCTACATACGTGTCTAATAGAACCCTCTAATTTTTTGAACACGGTTGACAAAATCGGTAAATCCATTTTGTAAGCAGCAACGCACAACCGGCTCTATTGTCGATGCGGCGCGAATCGGGTCGCTATGCTGTAATTAATTTGTATAACAGTGTTCTGCAACTAGGTTAGAATTATAGATATATATACTATAATGTTGTTATTAAAATCTAGTAAAGACTGAATTACTGTGTAGTGGCGATTAATAACTGTTTTGTGGATGTCGTAAGAGGCGCAGAGGGAAACTAAAACAGGAGATGGGCTGCAGCATTTGTCTTATAACAGCTGAATTTAATAAAAAAAAAAAATTGCGGTTACCGACTCGTATGCTAAGTGTGGCAACTATGGAAAAGTAACCCCTACAAGGCAATCTATTTAGGCCCGATTGCTGTGTGGTACGTAATTATTTTAAAATTATATTTAATTATTTTTTCTTTGCTTAAAAAAGTGTTAAACCTATGCGGAATCTATGCCGAATCGTGGTAGCTCAGGTGGTTAGCACTCGCTGTTAATTTCACAGGACGCAAGCAACCCGGGTTCGATCCCCGCTGGCAACAATGAAATTTTTAATGGCAATTTTAAGTGCTGTTTTACCACGTGCTCGGCGATGAAGGAAAACGTCGTGAGGAAACCTGCATGTCGGAGAAATAAGAAAAAAATATTTCGAAGACATGTGAAGTTCGCTAACACGATCTGGGACATCGCGGCGGACACTTCCTTACCCTAAAACGCTCTCAGAAATTAGAGGAGGCCTGTGCCGAGGAGTGGGAGGTATATAGGCTGTAACTTTAACTTTTCTATGCTGCACCAGTATCATAATATCAGCACGAATGGATCGGTTCGACCCGAAAATAATCACTCTCTCACGAAATACAAACGTGCTAAACGGGCACACTATATCTGTGGTCCTCATACACCTGTATATTCCTTCCTCGCACAATTTCCTTGTGGGATCGACAAACACCAGTGATTTTTCCGGACTGATACAACTTAGGGACCTTCAAGAAAATAGCCTACTCTTTTTGGCAACGCATCTGCAATTCCCCTGGCGTTGCAGTTGTTCATAGGCGGCGGTAGTCACTTACCATCAGGTGAGCGGTATGCTCGTTTGCATTTATAAAAAAAATATATCCTCGTTCAGCTAAAATGCTTGTGTTAGGAATGGTTCACGACAGTTGTGGAATGGGGGATTCGAACTCAAATGGCGAAATTTTTCTGAAAGGTTTATGGAGAGAGTCCAGGCACTGCTTCAGGGCATGTTAGCAGATTTCATATGGTCTTTGAAACATTTTATTCCTCAGACTGATTCTTGATGGTAAGTGGATGCTGTAGCCCATAGACATTTACATTTATTCTCGAATAAGAGTCAAAATGCAGATGCGTTGTCACGCCCGAGAACTAAGATGGAATACCTCGTTTCCAGTAAAAAGGGTCTCCGGTTCTTTACGGTCACCATACGAAACACAGCAGTGATAAGCTGCTATTTTACATCTGTAAGAGCGTGGTCCTACCCCGGTTGAGCCGACCCATTCGTGCTACAATTATACCAATAATATAGCTGCAGCATGGTTCTACCACGTAAAATGTTGTGTTCGTTGCATAGAGATTGGTATCTATATTCGTGCTACAACCATAATATCAGTGATATTTACGGCACGCTCTAGATCTATCATAGCACATGATAATTTACTCTTGTATTGTAGAAAATTTGACAATAGTAGGAGTGTTTCAGAGTTCATTGCGCGCCTAGAATAATCAGGTCGACGCGGGTGTGATCATGGAACGACGATGGATATTAATTGATCATTCAGCCGTTAAGTGCAATTGTTTCCTGCTTAATGCATAGATTAAATAGTGTAAGAGAGAACTTTTAAACATTAATCTGTATCTCAGTATTTGACCCTAGCTTATGTTATTAAGATGGTGTAAAATATAGAACTTATGTGTACTAAACTACCGTAATTTAATGTGGTGGCACTTGAAATAATCTATTATCTCGTTTCGTCGCATGGGTGTTGTCAGAGGCGAGTATGAGAAATTCCAAACAAATCTTATGGCTTTCTGTACAGAATCCTCGATCTTTTAATCTAATCCATCGAATGACGTATAGCTCCGGGGTCACTTGGAAGGGAAGTCTAAATTGGCATCTAAAACCTTGGCGTGCTCAGGAGAGCGGGACAGTATTTTATGCCGGCACACGCTTGCAACTTTATAAGGGGAATTTCCGGCCCACATGGAATACTGTTCTCAGTCCCGGGTAGGAGCAACCCAGTGCCAGTTCCTTCCACTTGACCGCGTCTAGCGAATACAGGCTCGAATCGTCGACGACCGAGTTCTTTCTGATCGGCTCGATTCACTGACACTGCGAAGAGATGTCTGCTTCTTTTTGCATTTTCCTTCGCATTTACGGGAAATCACATAATGTTACATGCTAAACCAGTTTTATGGCTTCCTATTATCGACAATAGTGTATATCCTAGTGTAGTGATATTAGGATTAGTGGTGACGGTGATAGTGCACGCAATTGGAGGGCGGTAGGTCGGTAGGTGTTTTTCAAACTAAGTAAGAAACATAATTTTTACGCGGATTTTAGCTTATTAATTTTTACATCTTTAATATTAATATATTTCCGTTAATTTCGCCTGATTCCATCAAATAAGTCTATGGATAAAATCATATGAAAAACTAACACACCTAAATAAATCTTTGCGCTTTATTAAGCAATTTTCTGTATGTGTGAACACGTAGTCTTTTTAATGTGAACCATTATTAATCGCCTATTGATATTGTAATGCTATTAAGTAGTCATTGTTGTAAGCCTCGTGACGGATATCCGGTTAAACGAGATTCTATACTCGGGTGTGTCCAGTCCGACATCGGTCACGTCACGTCTGAATATTAGAGTCACAAAGTGAAACGAGATTAATTTGATCAATGAACAAAAGTCAAAGCTACACACTGATGGGCAACTGGAAAATTAAAGAAGAAAGAAACCCTGACTTCTTTATTTTCTGCGTGGGGTTAGCTTTAAAGCGAGTTGATGGTATTATTTTCGAAATATCATTTTTTTTCTCAGTCATATAGGGTTTTTTTTAAATAACAAAAATAAACTGACAATAACAGAAAAATGTTGGCGTTTCGTCATTAAGGCATAAAAAGATGTAACTAGAGAATCGCACTAAAGCGAAGTCAGGGCAAGTAGCATGTAAAGTATAAATTAGTTTTATATGAAACTAGTATTGAAAACAAAAACATACGGAATTATGAAAAAGCAACGCCATCTGTTGTGTAACACGACAACCTTTATGACTTCTGTATCGACTACCGATAAAGGTACAGGATTAGTTCCTCACATTGCAGTTGAATTCATCTAGATGTCGCTAAAAGTCTCTTTCGTCTTCAAACAACAAATAATATACAGACATTTTTTAATTAGAAAAGTTAAATCAGCACTTAAACATCGGTCCTGGAAAAAACCAGCAAGTAACCCAGCGGGACTTTTATCCTCAAGTATTGTCATCATTTTGTGTTTTTATGTATTTTCTTTTACATAATTGTTTGAATTATCCCTCATCGTCCTCCCTATTCGTCATTTATTTATTTATCTATTTTATTCTTTAATGCACTAAAGATTTGTCATTCGTTGTAAACAAGTCTTTTTTTAACGCAATAAAGTTGTCTGGAGAAAATCACTTACTGAGTAATCAGACACCTAATTGTACCTTTTATATAATTTATTTCATTTTGTTATTGTTTTAATGTGTATTTTTTAAATGTTTAATAAGTTTTACAATATAGGTTCTCTTGTCATTACAATCTATACAAATAAATAAAATTGAAGTGTCTGTTTGTAATGTCAAAATTACAGTTTTTTACTAAATGCATATGAAAGTAAATACGATACCTATAACTAAAATACAATTTTTAAAATTTTTGTCTGTCTGTCTGTCTGTCTGTCTGTCTGTCTGTTTGTTCCGGGTAATCTCCGAAACGGCTGGACCGATTTTGACGGGACTTTCACTGGCAGATAGCTGATTTCATAAGGAGTAACTTAGGCTACTTTTATTTGAGAAAAAGAATCAGGGTTCCGCGCAGAAACATAAAAACCCTAACACGCGAACGAAATCGCGGGGAACAGCTAGTTTTAAATAAAAATACACAATTGATAAAAATCTTAATGAGTCTATTTTTTATATAACTTAATTTTAAAAAAATATTTTTTATTCTATTTTATTACATTGTATTTGATAATATGTTATTCTGAGATATTTCAAAATTTCAATTCTCTATAGCTTATCGGCAAGTTAGTTTAAAATTAATTAATAAGCGTCCCGACCACATACACAAAAGCGAATAAAACGTGGGAAAAGATATACATTTTAACTTACGCACTAAGTATAATTCATAAGACGTACCTGTACAGCGTCATCGAGACATCGTCCCCAGGCGTCACTGCGGTCCACCAGGGTGTTCCACTTGTCAGCCAGCTTGGCCACCTCGCGTCTGATGGAGCGCGCCAGCTCCCGAGCCTGCTCCTCTGCGGACCGGTAGCCTCGCGAGTCTCCTTCATTTTCTCGGCTCGCTGTAAAAATTGCTGTTATGTATTTATTTTCACTTAAAAAAATGGGAAAAAAATTACCCCAGAGTTTAAATACATACATACCCTTAAATAACTTTTACGTGGTAGAGCCATCCGGTCGGCTCTACCAGGGAAGGACCACGCTCTCATAAAATACCAGCGTAAAATAACAGCTTAATGCTGCTGTATTTCGTATGGTGAGTGTAGAAAACCGGACACCCTTTTTACTGGAAATGAGGCATTCCATCTTAGTCCTTTCGGGTGAAATCGCATCTGGATTTCTTAAATACGGATAAATGTAGATGTTTATGGGCCACAGCATCCATTTACCATCAGGTGGATTGTATGCTCGTTTGTTACCCAAATCTATAAAAAAAACTGGCTATTGCAGTCACACCTGCAGCGAACTTCAAATAAAAAATGTGTTTCACCTTCGAGGATTAAGATAAATGATAATAACACAGAAGTGACAAATGTACTTAGAGTCAACGTGTTGATAAGTGGCTTTTTTTATAGGATAAGGGTGACAAACGAGCACACAGTCCACCTGATGGTAAGTGGTTGCTGTGGCCCATAGACAACTACATCTTCGATTACGAATCAAAATGCAGATGCGTTGTCACCCGTGAGGACTAAGATGGAATGCTTCGTTTCCAGTAAAAAGGGTCTCCGGTTCTCTACACTCACCATACGAAACACAGCAGCGTTAAGCTGCTTTTTTACGCTCGTATTCTGTGAGAGCGTGGTCCTTCCCCGGTCGAGCCGACCCATTCGTGCTACAACGATAATATAGCTGCAGCATGGCTCTACCACGTATAAAAGATTTAAATTATATGTAACAATAAGACTCAAATTATATTATAACTAATTTCAAAGCGAGTTAGACGCGGGTGAAGACACGCGTGGCGTGCGCGTAGCGCGCCGGGTGCGTGTCGTCGGAACGCGCCCTAAGTTACTACTTATAACATCAGCTATCTGCCAGAGAAAGTCCCGTTAAAATCGGTGCAGCCGTTTCGAAGATTAGTCAGAACAAACAAACAGACAGAAGACAGACAGACAAATAAATTAAAAATTGTTTATTGTTATAAGTATTGTATCGTTTTATTTATTTGTATAGATAGGTTGCAATTATGTTCTACAGAAGCCACTTAACAAGACTTTGAATGTAAGTTCGTTTGTCACCTCAGTTTAAAAAAAAATAACCCTTTTCAAAAGTAATATGTTAAGTTTCGTAGTTAAATCAAAGCCTAGTAGATTCTTGCGCAATAACTCTTTGTTCCCAAGTTCGCCAAACAGCTAATATTTAGCGCGCCTCCGCGAAAAAGGCGGAATTTAATAATTATGGCGTTACTTCCGCGCCGAAGCATCCGTGTGGCTTTCGGCGTGCCTCTGCTTTGTAAATTGAAACACGCTGTATATAATTCTATATACATCGTGTTTCACTTAAGCCATAAGCGGGTATTACATCGTATTTAATTTGAATTTCGCTCATAGGCTTATTTGATGTTGTTTACAGTTTTGTGGAGCATTTGAATTCTAGTGGATGAAGTGTTTAATAAGAATGTTTCGCAAGAAAATGCCGGGAAAGTTAAAGAATGGAGGTTTGAAAAAAAAATTGATTTCTAACTCTTTGCCCCTTTTTATTTTTTATTATTCTTTGATTTCTGCTATTTTCCCTCACCGTCTTCAATATTTCCTTATTCGTTTTTATTTAAGTCTAATTTTTATCATCACTTTTACTTATGTACATAAACGTGAATGGACCGATCAAAAACAAAAGTCAGAAGATTTACCACACGGTACCTTAGCTCCTATCCTGGGGTACCTCCTTTTTTCGATCGACGACCAAACCACGTTTTACAAATTATGCAGTGACATTTTTGTATATATTTTGCTAGAGTTAATTACGCATATTACTATTTTTCTAGAATAAGTATGACAAACGAGCATACAGTCCATCTGATTCTAGGTGGATGTTGCAGCCCATAGTCATCTACATCAACTCTCGATGAAGAATCAAAATGCAGATGAACTGTCACCCCTAAGGATCAGGACGGAATGCCTCATTTCCAGTAAAAAGGGTCTCCGGTTCTCTACACTCACCACACAAAACACAGCAGTATTAAGCTACTGTTAAACGTTGGTATTCCGTGAGAGCGTGATACTTCTCCGGTCGAGCGGACTCATTCGTGCTACTACTATAATATAGTTGTAGTATGGCTCTACTATATGTAAAACTAACTTAAATGTAAAACTAACTTAAATTCTAGCCAGAAAATATAAAAATACATATTATTAAAGCGACGATATCGAAAATAAAATTGAGAGAGCCGTAAGTATCATCGATAGAGCTTTCAACCGCGAAGAACCAAAACAAAAAATTATATTTTAATGGTGCAGCGCTACGCAAATGTTTTTCCACGAAGGATGAGCCGGGTAAATATTTCTGTAGGATCGTTATCCCACTCGTGCGAGCACTAGCTCCACAACTTGAGTGAACGCAAACGAGGCATACGTATTCGCTCCAACGAATGCTTGGAACTTTTTTTTTTAATTCTACATTTTTCACTTATTACGGATTTGGTAGCCGGATCGGGAGGTTCGCAGTGCACTTTTTTAAATCGGGTACTGCTGAGAAATTACGTCATATTAAAAAAATACTTTTAATAAAAAGTGAAGTATTTTTTTTATAGAATTGGCGTGACAAACAAGCACACAGTCCATTGGATGGTAAGTGGCTACTGTGGCCTATAGACATCTACATTTATCTTCGATTAAGAATCAAAATACAGATGCGTTGTCACTCCTGAGGGCTACGATGGAATGCCTCGTTTCCAGTAAAAAGGGTCTCCGGTTCTCTACACTCACCGTACGAAACACGCTGCTATTTTACGCTGGTATTCGATGAGAGCGTGGTCCTTTCCCGAGCCGAACCCTTCGTGTTACAACGATAATATAGCTGCAGTATGGCTCTACCACGTAGAAGCTACAGCGTGGCTCTACCACGTAGAAATCACTGCTTCTAAAATCGGTGCTAAGAAATATTCTATAGGAGAAATTTAGCTCCGCTTCCTAAAGCAATTTATTGGAAAAGCTATAATGTGTAAATTACTTTATTCTTTTTATTTATTTGATGTCGGCTTTTATTTTTAATGAAAGTTAGTTTTTTACCCTTTTGTGTGGACTAAGAAATATCGCAAGGTCACCATGTGGTGGTGGTGTAAGAATATCCACTACCCCATATCATCCTTTGGGTGTCGTAAGAGACGACAGAGGGAAACAAATCAGGAGATGGGTTGCAGCGTCTTATAATAACGACTAAAAATAAAAAAAACTGCGGTTGCCAACCCACTCGCCAAGCTTGGCAACTATGGCAAATATCCCCCCTTTTAGGCAATCTATGGGGGTATGTACAGCAGTAGATTTTAATAGGCTGTAACGGTAAGAAAGTTCACAACTAAAATGGCGTCTGAATTCATTAAATGTTACAATTTTATTTAACTTACAATACAATCAATAAAAATTTGTTCAGATTTGACTTACGTGGTAGAGCCATGCTGCAGCTATATTAGTAGTATAGTTGTAGCACGAATAGGTCGGCTTGACCGGGGAAGGACCACGCTCTCACAGAAAACCAGCGTACAATAGCAGTTTAACACTGCTGTGTTTTGTATTGTGAGTGTAGAGAACCGGAGATCCTTTTTACTTGCAAAGAGGCATTCCATCTTAGTCCTCGCGGGCGACAACACATCTGTATCTTGAGTCTTTATTGAGGATAGATGTAGATGTCTATGGGTCACAGTAACCACTTACCATCAGGTGTACTGTGTGCTCGTTTGTCACCCTATCCTATAAAAAAAAAAAAAAGATTTGTTCTTTATTCTGAGGAACAGCTAGGAAACTGTGGAAAGTACTATGTATGAGTTACTCACACACGTCATTGTCTTCAATATATTGATCTATTTTAAAAATGGCTTTTCCATATATTGTTCGTAGCATGAATGGATCCATTCGACCGGGAAAGGACCACGCTTTCAAATATTAACAGTGTAAAATAGCGGCTTAATGCTTCTGTACTGTGTTTCGTATGGTGAGTGTAGAAAACCGGAGACCGTTTTTACTGGAAACGAGGCATTTCATCTTTATCATCGGAGGTGACAACACATCTGGATATTGATTCTAATCGGAGATAAATAGTAAAGACGTCTATGATCCACAGCATCCAATTACCATCAGGTGGACTTTGCTTTTTTTGTCACCTTAATACTTTAAAATTGTTTTATAAAAGTTTTAAAATTTCCGTTTAGAGTGAAAACAGGGTCTTTGCCCGGTCAAGCGGATCCATTCGTATTGCAGCACGAGTACCACGTACAGACATTTCTATAGCAAACGCTACTAAGAGCTCTTCATGTACACATATCAAAATATTGAAATTAATATATTTCGTCGAGAGTAATTAAAAATTTCACCGCGGCCCGAAACTAGTTCAGAGGCTCGACGGCTCAAGAGTAATGAAAGTGGTCGGTCTTTCAGACATGTTTATTTAGTTTTTGGGCGCCAGCTTTGTCCTCCGTGAGGAGTTTGCTCTGAGGTATAGTGAAAACAAGGCGTTATAGATACCAACATATATACATTCAGGGATATACAAGTACACTCAGGGAATTTTATATCACTCTCTATATCTACTACACCTACAGAATTGGATTTTTTAGGATATAATATATAAATAGAAAAAGTGGATGAGACGACAGGCAGATGTATACTGAATCTTTGTTAGTTATTATAAGCAAGTGCTTGACCACAATCCACCTGGTGCTAAATGGTGGTGAAGATTGTATTCGGACGGAAATACGTCTGCAAATTATTCCACTCCATTGCCGGTAAATACCGAGAGGCTGGCTACTCTACGTCTGTGCACGAGGCTGACAAGATTGGCCAACCAATGTTTTTATACGAGTTTTATGTTAAAAAACACGTTGTTTAATTTTTTCTTTAAAAAAAATATTTATAAAAGGAGTCCTGTCCTGCCCAGCTGTGTGACGCATATAGGCTGTAACTTTTACTTTAACTAGAAAAATGCCTGATGGCCAAGCATTTTTTTGTTTTTTAAAAACGTTACCTCCACACTAGGATTTTCTTCTGTATCGTGGGGGCAGTTTACATACATAGATTTCACAAGGAAAAATATCCAGACCCGGAACAATTATTTGCAGGCCATACAAATACTTGTCCCGTGCGGGATTCGAACCAGCGGGTCTTAGCGTTGCAACTCATAGTTAAGCCACTGTGCCACAAATCCGTCAGCCTGGCACGGTGGATATAGGTCCCAGTAAAGAATGATTGAGTTTTTTTTCTTTCATCATCATAATTTCGCTACTATATTTACTCTCGGGGCTGTATTCTCCAGGGTCTTTTCTATAGAATAAGGGCTACGAACGAGCATATAGTCCATCTAATACTAAGTACCATACTGTCACCCATAGACATTACTATACTAACATTATTCTTCTATTTTCAGAATCAAAATGCAGATGCGTTGTCACCCTTGGGTTCTAAGATGGAATGCTTCGATCGAGTAAAAAGGGTCTTCGGCTCTCTACACTCACTATATGAAAAACAGCAGCGATAAGCTTCTATTTTACGCTGGTATTCTGTGAAAGCGTGGGCCTTCTCCGGTCGAGACGACCCATTCGTGCCACAACCCACAACTATAATATAGCTGCAGTATGGCTTTACCGCGTAAAAACGCCACGGCAAAGGTCTGTGCCAAAATAGTTTCTTTCTTTCTTTCTTGAAAATTGAAATAACGAACGAACTAACAGCCAATATGATAGTATACTTACTATCATATTGGCTGTTAGTTCGTTCGTTATTTTTAGTTCGTTCGTTAGTTCCGGAGCGCAGTGGTTTAGCAGTGAGTAGCAGTTCTATGGGCCGCGGATTCGAATTTCGCACGGAACAAGTATTTGTATGGCCTACAAATAATTGTTCCGGGTCTGTTGTCAGAATGTTTGTCCTTGTGCAATTTATGTATGTAATATGCCGCCTTGATACAAAAGAAAATCTTAGTGTGCAGGTAACGTTTGTTAACAAAAAAATGAAAAAAGAAAGAAAAGAAAGACCAATATAGACACACTTCGACTCGACTATTATGCAATATTGCCATCTGTCAATCGATTGGCAGTTCTGATTCAATTATCGTCTTCCTGCGGAGATGGATCATCTCACTCGTCCATCGAACTCGAAATTCGCAATTATTGTAACCAGGTCACTACTAAAGGCAGCTGTTTTGTTGCGTCGAGCGCTGGAACTCGTGGTTTTTTTAATTGACTTCAAAAAAAAGAAGGTTTTAACTCCTCGCAATATTCTTATATAAACGTCTGATTTCAATGATTTTTTTATCTTTAGAAAAAGGTCCTTCTATGGGACCTAGATATTTGGTCAAGGTCTATTGGGATCTATGAAAAAAAATCAACAAACTCCTCAATTTGCAAAGGAATCTCCACGATATATGAGCGAATAATTCCTTATTTTTATAGAATAAGGGTGACAAACGAGCACACACATTTATTCTCAAATAAGAATCAAAATGCAGATGCGTTGTCACCCCTGAGGACTGAGATGGAATGCCTAGCGTTCAGTAAAAAGTATATTCAGTTCTCTACACTCACCATACGAAATACAGCACCATTAAGCTGCTATATCGAAATAATATATAATTTTGTTATGTACACATTAAATGTAAAGACCGTCTTATTATAAACTACTAGTTTGGCAACTTAAGACGACTTAAAATTAAGTAACTTTGAGCTGTTTATACTTTGTCAGATTATTAATGTACCTACCGAACTTAGTAGTTATCAACTTTAATTTGACTAGGTCCTACTCTCGGTTTCACTTGCGTAGAAACTACAATGTTCTCCCATGATTAGAATCCATGAGTTGATTCAGTTACAAACATATTCACAAACTTTCACATAATATACAATTTTAGTTATTGTCGGCTCCGTGGCGCAGTGGCTTAACAATGAGTGTGCTGCGCTGGGGGCCGCGGGTTCGAATCCCGCACGGAACAAGTATTTGTATGGCCTACAAATAATTGCTCCGGGTCTGGATGTTGGTCCTTGTGTAATTTGTGTTTGTAAACTGCCTCCAGGAGAAAATCAGGGATACAGGAGAAAATCCTAGTGTAGGGGTAACGTTTTTTTAAAAGAAATAAAAAAAGTATAGATTCTGTATTGGTATATGACATCATTCTCAGAGGTAAGAACACATCTGTAGCCTACTTTATTTGCAGTTGACTGCAGGTGTTCATGGGTTACCTCATTCACTTACCATCAGGAGGACTGTGTGCTCGATTATCACCCTCATTGTATAAAAAAAAACAAATACGAAGTAAATCTTCAACTTACCTTCTGTGTCACTGGTGTCAGACAGCGGTGGCTCATTGGCAATATACTGGCGCCCGCTGAGGAGGTTGCTCTCAACTACCGGCCGCTTGTCCTCCAGCTGTCTTCTGAACGCGCGGTGGTCATCCTTTCAACAAAATATCAATAATTAGATGTATATAGCCAACATAGTCCTTCATATAGATTGCTGGTAGGAGTCGGTTTGACAGCAGTTTTTTTACTCCGGACGAGCCGACCCTGCAGCATGGCTCTACCACGTATAAAGTTTGTCCTTATATTCTATGAAGGAGATGGAGGACACGAGCTCAACGCCCGGAAACCGCGCCATGTTTACACTGCACAAAAAGTTAGCGTGAGCATTAAGCGCGCTTCAAGTCTATCGTCTAAACGTGGCCTAATGTACCTATTCAACTTTTTAAGAATACTAAAGGCTATGCTAACCGCACATGAGCGAACCAGTACGGCCGCATGAGCATTGCATTGCTTGATCTTGATTTGACGCACTTCATACATATTTTATAATGTGCAAGCGGTGTTGTGAGACTGACGTGTTGCTGCATGCTCATCAGGTTTACAAATGCCTAAATTATATAAAATGGCAAGACAGATCCTTTACGATTGGATTAGGGTAATCCGATATCTTTTTTTTTACTCGATTTTGGAGGACCCTAAAAGGTGTTATTGTGGTCGTTTATATGTCTTCCCGTATCATCTAAAATACTCGACGGATTATGGAAAAGGATATCTCAATTGATTTGTCGTCATTGCGCGGGTAGCATAAAAAATACAAGTGGATGGAAATCTAAAAGGGACGCCTATGTCCAAGGACAAGCTGAAGAACAAAAAAATTGGTTTCCGGAAAATAATCATCATTATCATTACAGCCCTTCACAAGTCCACTGCTGATATGTTCAGCCTACATATATAAAATATAGAAAAAATATTAACCCTAAATTAATAGAGGTCTAATATTAGATAAGGCTAAGTATACCATAAAATTTGTTTTAAAAATGGTTTAGAAATAAAGGCGATAACGATATTATTATTATAAAAATTATATAGGAGCGGGGGCCAGACAGTAGACTTTTCAGAGCGTTGGTGTTCACTAAAGTTAAAAAAATCTTTGTTACTTTTTGTCATATGACATGCCAGAAATGAACCTTATATTGAACCATTCCAGATGGAGTTTTCAAGATAAAATACTTCACATAGAAAATAGGATAGTGATGAAATATTGAACTCTGGAACATTAATTCACTTCTTGGCCCGTCCGAAACCATAAATCGTTGAGATGAGGTCGGTAGCTGAATAGCAGCGCTCAGCTTGCGGATCGATTGGTAGTTTTATATCTCAATTCGGACTTTTATGTTGTCGAGGAGGTCGAAGCCATCGCCTCAATGACAACTATATAAAATGCAGAATTCTAAGTTGCAAGATCATTATTTTAAATTATTATACGAGGTAAATCCATGTTTACTTAATTACTGTCTTTTGTACCGCTACAATATACCCAGCGCTGACTATGATTTCCGATTATATTTGAAAACTGTTGCTGCAGTCGAAGTTGACGAGAAATAGATAATGATAATTGTCATCATCATTATGACGTGAACGCGATGTTATAAGCGTACAAAATGGCATCTCATTTCGTTCGGTTGATTTGGCATGTGATTTAGGGATGACCGATAGTAGAAAAACATCGATGTTAACATTGATTCAAGTGTTAATGCACGATTGTCAAAAGGAAAATCTGGATATTCGAAAACATCAATGTTTCAGATGGCGAAATATACAAACTAGAAAAAAAAATTAATATCTTAATTTTTTTAGGTACGCTCTTCATAAATCAATTTGTGAGTAGTTTCCTTTTTAATTTGTTTCTTTATTGATAGCCAGTTGACCAACTTGTTAAAAAACCTTTTCTGTGCAGCACAAATGTTTAATTGCTACGTTCTTCAACTTTGGAAATGTGGATATTAGAACTTGCTATAATCCTGATGGCCTAGAGTATATCGATGTTACGATGTTGTTCTCGTAGCATAGATGTGTCGATGGTTTTTTCGCTAAACATCGATGTCGATAAATATCGCTGTGCAACACAAATATTTACTTTCTTCAACTTTGGAAAGGTGGATCCTAGGAATTGTTATAAAAGTAATGAATCCTAATGGCCTAGAGTGTATCGATGTTACGATATTATTCTCGTAGCATCGATGAATATCGATCATCCCTAATGTGATTCGGCAGGATTAGGCGGGCGGTACACGGTGAAATTATTTATCGCTTCGTTACGCTCGTTTAGGGCTGACTCACATCTAATGGACGCGAGCTAACACGAATTCGTTATTAATTTATTGTCCATTAAGTTAAGTTACTTTCGTGATGGGGGTTTATTTGGTAGAGTTACGTTTTCGGGATTTATTTTGATGTTTTGTTGTTGATTTATAGGTTGTGAGGATGATTAGTAAATAAATATACTAACTATGACCTCTGAGTATATTTAGAAAAATGTCTGCACAAAAAAAAGGTTTTGTAAAAATAGTGATGTACACATACTAGATAATACTGGTCACTCGAATCCAGTGTCAGTAATTCTTTAATGGGGCAATGTGTACGACATTACATACAGGGCCTATTTATTAAAAAAAATATATAAATGTTTAAAAAGGATTATAATAATATATTAAAGAATATATGATTGATAATTACTTTCGGTAATAAGGTGATCGATCATACTGTATCAAACTGTTGTTATATTATATTGTACAACATATATCGTAAATTATTAGTTAAAGATATTCTTGCTGGATTTTTTCCCGGGATAGAGATTTTTTCCGAATCAATTGTATAAACATAAATAAATTTCAATAATTATTCTTATAATGTTATGATATTACATAAAAACATATTCTTTTTACTGCATTGAAATGTATTTGAGAGTTGAAATTGGATTAAAGAAGTTTTTACGGATATCCCTGAAAACTAGTTTCACTCAATGTATAGTTTTAATATAAGAAATAATAAGTGTTAAAATTTTATAAAATCGTGTAAAACAGCCCTTCGATACCGTTCAAGTCCATATCTATCGCCTTCAAACGATTAGTTAAAATGATAAAAAGAAACAGTAACACACGGCTCCGTGGCGCAGTGGCTTAGCAATGAGTTGTTGCGCTGGGGGCCGCGGGTTCGAATCCCGCACGGAACAAGTATTTGTATGGCCTACAAATGATTGTTCCGGGTCTGGATGTTTGTCCTTGTGCAATTTATGTTTGTAAACTGCCTCCACAACACAGGAGAAAATCCTAGTGTGGGGCTAACGTTTTCTTAAAAAGAAAAAAAGAAAAGTAAGATAGTTTTCCGTATAGAGTCGGTGTAAGAAGAGTTGTGTGTATACACTACTCTATATTATCCTTGTGTGTGTCGTAAGTATATAGGCAGCAGTATCTTTTCGGTAAGAACTTAATAAAAAAACTGCTTTTTCTAACCCGCGTCCGCCTACACAGCGCGGCAACATAAGAAATATGTTTAAATTAAAGAAAATACCTGTTGTTTCACTAGTGCGGCTAGATCGCCGCGTGGTGGAGCTAGTGCGTTCAGTTCAGTCTCCTTTCTGATCACCCACTCAGTGAGCTCACGTAATGATAGCAGCAGCGCGGACCAGTGCTCAGCGTTGCTCTCCAAACGGTTTCTGAAACGAAATGTTGTATTAAATTTTGAATATAATAAATAATAATAATAATAAGGAAATAATGCTCGAATAAAAATAATGAGGCTCGATCAAGGGAGGGTCTCGGACTCACAGAAGCTTTAGCCAGCCTAGCCCAGCTACCGCAGTCAATGCTGCTTAAGCAGGAAGATGAAACTTGGCAGCTGTTCTTTTTCAAGGACTGACTCGTTTGTGATCCTGTCTTGCTATGTGATACGAATGATACTGTGTACACAGTACATATGCAAGATCCGGGTTTCTATACTCTAGATAAGAAACACAGCTGCTATGCTGCTACTTGACGGTTCCGTGGCGCAGTACCTTACTACTGAGTTGCAGCGCTGAAGGCTGCAGATCCGAATCCCGCACAGAACAAGTATGAATGTTTGTCCTTGTGCAACTTACGTAAGTAAATTGCCTCAACGATAAAGACGAAAATCTTAGTGTGGGGATAACGTTTTTTATTCTAATATGTGCGCTGGAATTTGTGAGAGCGTGGTTCAGCCAACTCAGCTTCTATGTAGTTCCACAGCGTAAATTTAATTAATATAATAAAAAAATTACAGCTTGAAACATTGCGTTGGCTCTACTATAAAGATAGGAGGCGTCTTGACGCGCCCCCGCGAGTCACGGGGCGATATTTCAAAAACTTGGCTGCGGCATAAAGCCGCCGGGATGGCTGCAATTGTTGAAACTTGGCTGCGACTCGGCTCTATAATATGTTTAAACTGTTACTTTAGACAAAAATAGAGATGTAACAAGAAAATATCGATAAAAATTTCAGAAAAAATAGGACGAAAACAAAGGATGGATATTTGTACTTGTGCAATTTATGTAAGTAAACCGCCTCTACGATATACGGGAAAATCCTTGTGTTAACGTCTTTTGAACCGATAAAAAAAACTAGAAGAACTTCAGAGATATTCGTCACTTGTGTAAGTAATCCGTACTAAACTTCAGTATAATATTACTGCATCGATAATCACACTGATGAAGGTTTTATGAAATTTCGAGAAGGTTAAACACAGATTTGAGAATCAAAAATACATCTGAATTTCAGAAATCTGATGACTTTGTGCGATATTTTTGAATCTGAAATCAAAAAAACACTGTTTATTTGATGCTAGAGAAGAAATAAAACCTGAGTATAAGTTGGTTATATAAGAAGTATCAAAAGAATAATTACGAATCGAATGCAAGTATAGGCATGACGAATCAATAACAAAACAGGGAAGTGGTAATATAAATTATCATATCGATATATTCATGTCCCGTCACTAGTCATATTCTATAAATCGCGCTCTTTGGTTAAAATTTTGTGCGGACTCGTTTAGCATTAAACCACCACAAAGTAAAATATGCAATCCTTTAAACTTTATCAGTAATTGAATAAAGACAAAATAGCTTAAACTTTGTGCAGTAACTTAATTCTAATTAAGTTTATCTTATTTCAGTTGTAATTTAATAAGTTTAAGTTGTTAAGCTACGCTAATGTTAAGGTTGAATTTATAATGAGAATTAAGATGAACTGCGTCATTACAAAACCTTTAACGGTAAGTTTTGTTCCCAATTAGGTAATATAAATTCATTTCGCAAGGCTAATTGTATCTAAACATAAAAATGAAATTAAAGTGTCTGTCTATAACATTGAAATAACAGGTTTCTATTAAACTTGGGGTTTTATTTACATGCTATTGAAACATAAACAACCACTTTTAAAATGTTTGTATGTCTCTCTGTCTGTCTGTACGGGCTAATCTTCGTGATGGCTGAACCGATTGTGATGACACTTCACGAACAGAGAATAGAGAGCAATGCCAGGTGGGGGTCTAGAGTATATTTATCTCAAAAACTAGTTTTTTTTTCTTGGAAAATTACATTCTATTTTCAGTTACTGTAAAATTTGCAGTCAATCAAAGTTCACTGCTGAGCATAGCCCCTCCCCTATGGATTACATTTCAAGGGGTTATATTCCATAGTTGCCACACTTGGCAACCGTATTTTTTATTTTCTAGTGGTTACTAGGATGACGCTGCTGGCCATCTCTTGGTTTGTATCCATCTTTCGCCTCTTACGACACCCACGGAACAATATGGGATAGTGAATACAGCATCTTATCTTACAGCATTCTTATTGTGTACTAGCTGATGCCCGCGACTTCGTCCGCGTTGCTTGATATATTAATAAAGTTTTAGTATGTGCAAAGGAAAAAACATCAAAAACACAAAATTTCTTTGTAAACAATGTTATCGTTGCTCCGTTTGTAGCTAAAATATACAAATTATCTGAGTTAGTAACGGGAGAGCAACGACGTACCTTGTGAAAAACCCAGTGTAAAGATCGTTGTTTCTTACAACTTTAATAACTTTATATTAAATGAAGATATCGCAATAATTTGTGTGTGTGTGTCTAAGAAATAAAACTTTGAAACCCTAATTGAATCTATTAAGTAGTTTTTAAGTGCGCACAACTGTATACCTCTATAATTTTATATAGATTTGTAAAATTAATTATTGTGTAAATATACCGGGTGACTTTATTTATCATGAGGAAAAAAGAGGGACCCGTAAACGAAATAGGGCTCTAGATTATCGTAGACTGCCTTTAAACGGTACAATAACAACAACAACAACAACAACAACAACAACAACAACAACAGCAACAACAACAACGACTGCCGAACTCCTCTCAAGCAAAAGCTCTAAGACAAAGTAATATACACCGCGCTGCCCCGATGCGTGTCTTCGAAATATTTTTAGGTTTACTCGCGACGTTTTTCTTCACCGAGGGGCACGTGGTAAATCAGTATTAAAACCGGCAATTAACAATTTCATAGGTGCCTTTGGGCTTCGAAACTGGATTGCTCACGTATTGATATCGGCGTGTACCAGACTCCTGAGCTATCATAACCCTAGATTGGTTAATACTATTGATATAATTCCACCATGATTTTAATTTTAATTTTCCCCACTGCCAACCCTAACCGGACGTTAAATTTGACAATCATAAACACATTCTATTTTAACCGCGGTCTACAATGCAAATATAAACTGTTTCACAAGAGCACAAATCCCGTAAAGGTTTGTCGAGAGGACAAAGGCTGGCCCACCTGCCCTTTGCCGCAGCGCCGCCAAGTTAAATAAGGGAATGAACAAACATGTTGGAACATGTTTAATGTGACTAGGGTTGGTAGAGTCAAAAATTCAAGGAAAGGCAGTTAAAACGCAGGGGTATCAAATGAGAAAAGCAGAAAGTTTTTATAACATCAAAATAGCGAGGTGGTCATTCTAGTGCTATGATTATTAATTTTTAGAGCATTCATTATGTTTTTAATCGAAGCCTTTGTGCCTGTGGCGATGTTGCCTAAATCACGCTATAGAAGTAACTAAACTACTACGTATATATAAAATACCCCGTAGTACCAACACTACGGGTTTAACACCTTGCCTGGCGGGCTATCTCTCTTGTCCTACCACGGCCAATGTATAGTATGACATAATTGCCGTTACCACGTAGTGGCGGTGTAAGAATTTTTTTTTATAAAATAAGGGTGACAAACAAGCACAAAGTCCACCTGATGGTAAGTGGTTGCTGTGGCCCATAGACATCTACATCTATCTTCGTTTGCAAATTAAAATGCAGATGCGTTGTCAGCTGTGACGAGTAAGATAGAATACCTCTTTTCCAGTAAAAAGGGTCTCCGGTTATCTACACTCACCATACGAAACACAGCAGCATTAAGCTGCTATTTTACGCTGGTATTCTGTGAGAGCGTGATCCTTCCCCGGTCGAGCCGACCCATTCGTGCTACAACTATACTATTAATATAGCTGCAGCATGGCATATGCTCTTACCCAATCGTCCCGTGGGTTTCGTAAGAGACGACAGCGGCAAACGAACGAAGAGATGGGCAGAAGCGTGTTCCTAATAACAACCAAAAGTAATAAACTCAACCCCTCGTAGAAGGGATACCCGCAGTTTTTTAATTTTAGTTTTTATCAGGAAGTTGCTGCTGCACATCTCTTGTTTTAGTTACTCTGTCGCCTCTTACGACACCCACCGTATGATATATGGGGTAGTGGGTCTTACACTGCCACTAAATGATCATATATTATGTACATATACATTTGATATTTATTTCGAGTTTTCAGGGTTTGCCTACATAAATGTATAGATAATATAGTCTTCCCAAAATGCTATAAGAATTATTTAAGTATTGTATATCGGGCACATAAAGCGAATTTATGTGTGGAGTCATATAAAGTGAGCGATAAAGATGTTTCGCAGTGAAATCGGCGTTTTATTTCACTATGAAATCACTACACACTGTTAACGGCGCTGCGTATGCAGATCGCGGGCTGAGACGGGCGGGGCCACATTTACAGCGGAATTGAACCTTATTAAGAGATTTTATTTTACATTTAATACTTAAATAGTATGTAGAATATCCACTATCCTATATTGTCCCGTGGGTGTTATTGCGGGTGACAGAGAGAAATTAAAACACGAGACAACAACTCAAAATAGTGAAAAACTGCGGTTGCCAAGAGTGGCTTGCTAAGTGTGGCAACTCTGGCAAATATCCCCCTATGATATCTATAGGTGAGACATTTGTTCAGTACTAGATTTCTATATGCTATAATGAATGGATAACAAATCTAAATTTAAGTTTTATATTATCATGGCCGATTTCTTCAAAAAAGGAGGAGTTAACAATTCCACTGTGTTGTTTTGTCAATTGTGAACCGATTTTGATGTGTTTTTAATTAGTAGGTTATCGCAAGCAAGGTATTAAATAAATTTGGAGAGTCTCGCTACAACTACAAAACGGCTCGACCGATTTTGATACAGCTTTGTGTTTGAATTTTGAGGTTCCATTGTTGTCGAGATCCAGACATCATCCGTGCGAAGTCGGAGAGGATCGCTAGTACTAAAAGTAAATGTTAAATTAAAATTCAATTTCATAACATAAATTATACCAT